CCTCACGGCGGGGATCGCCCGGTCGGCCCTCGCGCGCGCCCCCTCACTCGCCTCCCACCCCTAAGCTTGGAGTGGACTCATCCTTACCGCTCATGGTGGCAGCTGAGGGACAAGCTCAAGGGGGTCCTGTCCGGGGGGGTTGGGGGGGGCCGGGAAAAACGCGGACGCTGACGAGGCAAGCGAACCCGGACCGGACAGGGAGGGGGGGGTGAGGAGGAGGGAGCAGCGCGCCACAAGCCCAACCTATGCCCCGCCCCTTCTCTGCTGCCCCGCCCAATGAGGGAGGGGGAAAGGTGGGACTTGCAGAAGAAAGACGGTGAGGTTTTCCAATGGCAAGACTCGCTTGCTCTCTAAGGCGTGTAAGACTAAGTTGCGTGCCTGGTGTCCGCCCAAAAAGACAGCCCTCTCAGTGTTAAAAGCCAATGAAGGATGCAGGAAGTGAAGATGGGCGGGAGCTGGGGATTATTGGCTTGGAAGGAAACCAGTCAACCGGCAGGCGGGCTCCCTGAGACGTTGGGATAGGGAAAGCTTTGATAGGAATGACAGAACAACGGCCAACTAAAATCCGGGATATGCTTGGGCAAAATCCTAGTGGGAGGAGAGGTAAGAAGTAGACAGGAATAGGATAGGCTGAAGCTGATTAAAACCAATCAGAAATCAGGCGGGCAGCCAGGAAAGTTATGATTGGATTAAGACTGAAAAAAGACAGGAAAGGACGCATATTGACGTGAATTAAAAGCCAATTAAACGCCGGATTAACTCTGAGGGCGGAAACTTGGAGTGGCAGAGGAGAATTGGCGGCTCCCTCAGTTATTCAATCCAATGAGGGAACGAAGTAAGCCTGGCACCGCCTCCTAGTTGGCCAATGGGCGTTACCGGAGCCGCCCATCACGAGGGAGGGAAGAGGGCTGTGCCAAGAGGAGACCGTCGCCATATTGGCCCACCTCAGGGGACGTTGTTACAGTCATTAGGTGGGACGCTTTAGTGGAGTCTTGCAGCTCAACAGGTGTCAGAGCCAAGGCATTCGGCGCGCAGTTCTGCATCAACACTAGGATTTGTTTGAGTCTTCATTTAACTGCCCCTATAAAGTACCTCTCAAATCTTACCCGTTTCCCGGGTGGGCGGACAGGCGGGCAGATACCTCAATGTCGCTGCAAGCCCTGCGAGTGCAGCCGGAACGGGATTTGGGGACAGCGCTCACCAAATAAGTTAATACTGAGCTGACCAATATGCAGAGTCTCCGTAAGATTCCAGAAAACGCCATTTTGTTAAGTTCCGCCAGACAAAGGCGCTAACCACTTAAGACTGGTTAACTTTTCAAGCTTTGAGGCTAAAGTGCGGATAAGTCACTTCCATTTTTCCGAGTTAATAGTAAATACCGCCTATGCATAAAGCAAGATAGCTGAGCTCCTGCTTTTTGCAATCACGAAGGTTAAACTTTACTGCAGGCACCTGGATTTCTGGCCTCCTCTTTATCCGTGTTTTGGTGGAGCCGGCCTTGATAGCTTGTCAATGACACGATAAGGTCATGTCCTTCAGTATTTGTATCTTAAATGTTGTCGCTTGCTTGTATGTTCTTATGTTTTAAAATCTGAATTCTCCTATACTATTTTAAGCCCTTTGGAGTTAAGAACTGAGGCCTCTGCTGCTTTAGACAGGTAAAAAGGTGAAGTGATTGCTGACTGCCTACCGTGTTAGGTGGCTAAGTCAGGGAGGCAGTTGGTATTTCGTGTCATCCTTATCAGGAAGATTTTATTAAGTATTAGCTATATTATGTATTTTATAAGTGAAGACATTCAGGCTGAGAAGTGACTTACCCAAGGTCACAAAGCAAATGAGTCGTAAGTGTTAGATTCCAACCCAGAATAGTTCCACAAAAAGTTTTCTGTGAATTCTTCAGTGAATTAATGCTGCCAGGTGCAGTAGCTCAGGCCTGTAATCCCAGCACTATGAGAGGCCGAGGCGAGCGGATCACTTGAGCCCGGGGGTTCAAGACCAGCCATGGGCAACATGGTGAAACCCCGTCTCCACAAAAAAATAACAAAAATTAGCTAGACATGGTCATGTACGCCAGTAGTCCCAGCTACTCAGGAGGCTGGGGTGGAAGGATCGCTTGAGCCCAGGAGGTTGAGGCTGCAGTGAGCCCAAATCCTGCCA